TGGGGCCAACTCACACCAACTCACACCGTTCTTTTCTCCTTTGTATAGGTTATGCCCTGGAAAATTCGAGGATGAATAATACATTCAATTAGTCCAGCACTTTCCTGGAAATGTCTCTAAAAGCAGATGACAGAGCTCCATAATCAAACTGCCGCCCACACTTGCATTCTACTCCGTCTCTCCCACGGGGAAGGCACTGCTTATACACACAGTCGCTTACAAATACACACGGCTATTTTTATCTTACTTTCCATGCTGGATATGGCGTTTGCCTTACATTGCAGAGAAAGAGCTGCCTCTGTGAGGGGAGATGACGCGCTGCTGACAGCGCGAACCGCACCCGGACAAGCCGCGTGGACAGCGCGAACCGCACCCGGACAAGCCGCGTGGACAGCGCGAACCGCACCCGGACAAGCCGCGTGGACAGCGCGAACCGCACCCGGACAAGCCGCGTGGACAGCGCGAACCGCACCCGGACAAGCCGCGTGGACAGCGCGAACCGCACCCGGACAAGCCGCGTGGACAGCGCGAACCGCACCCGGACAAGCCGCGTGGACAGCGCGAACCGCACCCGGACAAGCCGCGTGGACCCAGGCCTTGGAACATCTTTACATTGTTTCACTTCAATCAACAGACTTTAATTCAAGCAAATGTCTGACTCCTAACTGCAAACTTCCAAGAATACCTTCTTTTTCAGGTTTTTTTTTTTTTTTTAATTGGAAAGTCTGATTTACAGAGAGAAGGAGAGATAAAGAGAAAGATCTTCCATCCACTGGTTCACACCCCAAGTGGCCCCAGTGGCCAGAGCTGAACCAATCTGAAGCCAAGAGTCAGGAGAGACTTCTGGGTCTCCCACGCCGGTGCGGGGTCCCAAGGTTTTGGGCCATGCTCTGCTGCCTTCCCAGGCCACAGGCAGGAAGCTGGAAGGGAAGTGAAACAGCTGGGACATGGATAGGCACCCATATGGGATACCAGTGTGTGCAAAGTGAAGACTTTACCCACTAGGCTACTGCGCCAGGCCCACTTTCAAGATCTGAAGGCTGTTTTGGGTCCCAGGTCCCACCTCTTGGAATCTAATACAGTTCAGAGCTTCAGACACAGGACCCCAGACTAAACATGCCGTCCTCATCAGGTCTGTTTGCTGTTGACATGAACTGCCTCCCTTCGTTGTCATGAAGATTGTCTTCCCTCGGCACTGTGTTTACCGATGGCCAGCGTGCGCCAGGGGCAGAGCGGAGCACGGGGGTTGTCCCGACTGAGTCAAGCAGATAGATGCCATGGGGGCCTGCATGATCCGGAGGGGAGGGGCTCGGCATCCTCCCAGGGGTGCAGCACATCGGGGAGACAGAGAAGGACGACCCAGCTGCTGAGGGTGGCTGCCACGGGCCACGGAGGTCAACAGCACAGCCGCGAGCTGCCAGTTCAACCAGGCTGCAAAGCCCACCTCTGCTTCCCGGAAGAGCTCTGGCAAGACACCGCAGGCAGAGGTGAGCACGCCATGCCACCAACACCAGTGGGGACGTAGTGTTTGTACTGCCACGATTTAAACCTTATGTATTTATGCAAAAATAAGTATAAAATGTGTACTATTATAAAATGTCATGTACTACATATTTATAGTTGTCTAAATATACTTTGTAAATCTATAAAGGATATATAAAACATGTTTTACCTATTATATATTGCATATAGCATTTTATGTACATGACTTACATTGTTATAAAGCATATTATTTATGTGAAATACATTTAACATAAATCATGTGTTCATACATATTACAAATGTAAGCCTATTACACACTAAATGGTACACTACACTTAGCAGGTAAACAAAAGCTGGGTGTGCCGCCCGCGACTCCTCCTCACTGCCAGCCTCGCTGTGGTCACGAGGGACGCAGATGCACCCGGGACTAAGTCTTGCCCTCAGGGGTGTTTGGCGACTGAGGGACTGGCACAGCAAGCAGCTGTAAGGAGGACAGCATCAGGCACAGAGTGCAGGGCTGGGGGGGTGGGAGGGTGTCCTCACCACAGGGCAGCAAGCAGGGGGTCAGCACGCCCCTCCCGAGCTCACCCTCATCACCCTAAAACGCAGTGTGTGACAGCTTCCACCGAGACCACACTGGCCCGGCACAGGCTGGACAGCGGACCCCCCAGGGTGCACAGTGAAGACTCTAGAAAGCAGTAGCCTGTGCTCATGGCCCTGCCCCAGCCCCCACCTCCCCACAGGGCACAGTCACCTAGTGCACCCCAGGCAAGAAGTCGCAGGCCCTTGGCACACACCACCCACCACATCACCGACACAGGACACAGGTCTCAGAGACAAGTCGGTCACAGTGTGTGTCAAGCGTGACCATGACAATAAAAAACAAGAAGGGGACAGCAAGGACATGGAAAAAGACAGAGAGGAGGGCAGGAAGCAGCCTGCCACGTAAGCACTCGGAGCTGGCAGCTCCTCCCGGGGCTGTGCCAGCCACTCCCTCCGGGCACACGAGGCAGTGAGGAGTCCCACTCGCCCCGTGGGGACAGGCAGAGCAGGCTGCTTCCCACTCCCCGCACGCTGCAGCTTTCTAGATGGGTGTGGGCTCACCTGGTGCACTGAGCCACTGCCTCTCCATGCTTTGCTTCTGTCCTCTTAGAGCTCTTCATGCCTGTGCGGTGGCAGCTCAGCCACTGACCCTCCGTTCTGCTGCCTAGGGAGGCGCCATCCGACTTGGATCTTAAAAGGCCAGAGCAGCAGGTGTGAGCCCAGGAGGCGGGAGACAGCTTTCCATGGCCCCTTCTGCAGCTGACTGCTCTCTGCTCTGCGCCCCCCCCCCCCCGCCCACAGACATCCACACACACATTTTCCACTGGGATGAGGAGAAGGGGGGCTGAGTGGAAGAAAAAAAAAAACCCAATCTAGACATCACAAGCGAAGTCTTCTGCCCTCTGCAGAAACAAACCAGACTTCGTGGCCCTGGCCAGACTGGCCAGGGAGCGTCTGCACAGAGGTAGCCACAGACCCAAGCAGTGAAACCCATGGCAGAGGTCCCACTGTGAACACCACAGCCAAGCCCGGGAGCGTGCCGGGACTCCAGAGGCAAAGGCAGAGCACCTGCCGAGCACACAGATGGAGCTAACTCCCCTGCCTGCCCTCTCCGTCCCAGCTCCTCTCAGGGCTGCATGAGATGTGAACCTCCGCCCGGTGGCTTTCCACCTGTACGCACGGCTGAGAAGCTGAGAGGCGGCCACAGCTGGCAAACTGGCTAGATTCCCCCCATTCTCAAATCCACCAGCTCCTGGGGAGCTGGCGTTAGGCCTGCCAAGATTACATGTGCTCCATGACTTTCTTGCCTTTACTGCCACTTCTATGTTGTCTGCAGTAGCCTGGGCTCTGCCGTGGGCACTGGCAGTACAGGAGCCGGGAGGGGCCACCTGGAGCTGTATCCAAGTAGGTGTCACACACAACATTGATTTACATGTGAACTGTGAGGGGTATCGAGATGAAAAGGGGCTGGCATTGCGGTGCAGCAGGTTAAGCCAGCTCCTGTGACACCAGCAATCCCCATGACTGCGGGTTCGGATCTCTGTTGCTTCGTTTCTGATCCAGCCCCTGTTAGTGCACCTGAGAAGGTAGCACAAGACTTGCAGCTCCTGGGGAAGACCAGATGGAGTTCCAGGTTCCTGACTGCAGCCCAGCCCAACCCTAGCTAGTGGAGGCCTTTGCAGACTGGACAGCGGAATGGAAGTTACCTTTCTGCCTTTCCCTGTAACTTTGCCTTTCAAACAAAAAACTTTTTAAAAAAATCAGAACAATAAAGCAGTCAGAGGGGCAAAAGGAGGGCAGGGGTAGGTTGGTGTGGGCAACAAGGGGAGGCAGTGAGCCCTGTTGAGACCTCAGGAAAGGGGGGAGGCTGAGGGGTCAGCAGGGCAAAGGGCCTGGGATGGAAGCTGCTGGTACTGCTGGCGACCCGGACAGTGGGGGAGAAGCCACCGTCAGGGGAGGTGTGATTATGCTGCTGGTGCAACTGCCAACATTTTAAGTCACTTGAATTTTTGTAAAGTTTGCTTTCACTAAGTATCCCCATCGAATCCCCTTATCCAGGCATACTTGCGTTTCAGGACTTGGAAATAACCAGTGTGGATGCAATGCCACCGGGGGCTGCTGGGGCACTTTTGGAGCTGTTGTCCCTTCCTAGGGGGCCAAGGGGCACAGGGATGCCTGCCCCACACCTGGCAGTTCCACTCCACATTACTGAGTGTGGCGTTGCTGCCTACTCAAGAACTGATGTCAATGACACACAGTTTGGCTTTTGTTAGCACAAGATATAAACATTGACAAAGTTCTAGTGCTTTCACACGGTGTCCCACGTACCCTCAAGGGACATGTCCTGGTTCTGAGCTCAGTCCCAGAGACGTGGGCACTAGGTAAGCGCCCCATCAACAGAGAAAGGCCCTCTACAAACTGCAAAGACGGGGTCAGAAGAGTGACTCAAAACACACTGCCCAGGAGGAATTAGAACTCGCAGAGGCACCAACGTCCAGGGAAGTGCCAAGAGCAGGGCAGGCAGAGCCACCCATAAAGAAGCAGTGAAACCGAGACTGAGAGCAGACAAAAGCACCCACTTTTGCACCTCAAGGGAGGTCCCCAAAGCCACAGGATGCAGAAGCAGCACACACAAGCCAATACGCAAACGTGCCATGGCTGATACAGAAGTGGTCAGCTCAATCCCATTGAATGACCAAGCATATGAATGATCTCCAAAAAATAATGATGAAAGAAGACACGAAAACGTGGAACCGTCTCCTGTGTTCGCAGATTTCAAGGATTAATATCATTGAAATGTCTGTACTATCCAAAGCAACTTACAGATTCATGCAATCCTGATGAGAATATCAAGGACATTTGTCTTGGATCTAGCAAAAAAATTTAAAACACAAGAGACCCCAAATAGCTAAAATAATCTTAAACAATAAGGGATCAAAGCTGGAGGCATCACAATATTGTATTTTAAGACATACCTCAGGGTAGTTATAATCCAAGCAGCCTGGCACTGGCATAGCTATGGATACACATCCGACAGGTCAGGTGGGAAAGCCCAGAAGTTAGTCCACGCATCTACAACAAACAAAGGAGCTAACATCAGTCTCTGGGCAAGGGACTGCTTCAGCAAATGGTGTGAAAATTAGATTTCCACGTGCAGAAGTAGGAAACAAGACCCCACCTCATATTCTATACAAATTTCAATCCTCCATGGAGGCACGAAACCATTACATTACTAGAGGGAAACACTGGGAATGTCTGCAAGACACCGGCCTGGGCTAAGGCTTCTTGGGGCACAAGCAGCAAAGGCCCTGCAGCTGCATGGGCAGCGGAGGTGGCTCCTGGCTTCTGCCTTTGGATCAGCTCAGCTGGGCCATTGTGGCCACTTGAGAAGTGAACCTGTGGATGGAAGATCTTTCTCTCTGTAAGTCAGACTTTCTAATAGGATAAATACATCTATTTTTTAAATGGGCAAAGACCAGGATCAAAACAGGTACAAGAGGGAACAGCAGGATCACTAGTCATCAGGGAACTGCAAATGAAAACCACAGCGAGGTTTCACATCACCCTCGTTAAAATGGCCAACACCTGAACATCAAAAACAACAAATGCTGGCAAGGATGCGGAGAGAAAAGGTTCCCTAAGCCACTGTTGTTGGGAAGGTCAACCAGTGCTGCAACCATGGGGGAGAGTAAGAGACTCCTCAGAGGCCCGAAAACAGACTCAAGAAGACTCAGCCACCCCGCTGCTGGAATCTACCGAGGGAAATGAAATGAAATGAGCATATGAGAGTCGTCTATATCCTGTGCTTGCAGTCCTTCAGTTCACAATGGCTGAGATAGGAAACCAACCCAGACGTCCACCAACTGGTGACTGGAGAAAGAAAGCATGGCATGCATGCGCTAAGGAATGTTACTCAGCCATCAAAGAGAATGAAATCTTGTCTTGCAACAAAATGGACGCAATGGGGAGCCAGTATGATTAGTAAGATCAGCCAGTCTCCACAAGACAAACGTCATCTGTTCTCTGTGCTTTGTGACGATTAGTATATACAGCTCAAAAAGGTCGTGACGTGCAGACGCGAGACCGTCGTCCTGAGACTTTTGTTCCTATTTCTGTTGAACAGTGAACTTTCGCTTCCACTTGTGAACTTTGCATTTAGTGGAGCATTAAGCCTGTGACTGTAAAGCAAATTAAAAGTATGTTATCACAAAAACAAAAAGAAAATAAAGAACGTAAGGAGGAGGGAAGGGAGGCAGGATGTATCATTATGTGATTAAAACTACATATGAAACACATGAATTTGTTCTAATACAAATTTCAAAAAAATAAAAAAACAACAAGCTCAAGGCATCAAGATGTTGCCAGAAACAAGACACAGAGCAGCCATTCTCCCTCTCCACATCCTCTCTGACCCCGGACGGGCACCCTGCTTCCGCCTCTGGTGCCCGCCCGCCCAGGGGCAGCAGGAAGAGCCAGGGCACAGTCTCCTGAGGGAGGTCACCGATGCTCAGGGCCACCACATTCCAACTGGGGTGGAGAGCGGGGTGTTGGCAGGGTTTACGTCTCTGCCCGCCCCAGCTGGAGATGCCTGTGTCTGCCACACACCTGGCACGCAGCCTCAAACTTCCGCCTGTTCTTTTCTGTTTATGTCCACAGCACACAGACACAGAAAGATCTGGAAGACACTAGAAAGTAAACAGAGAGGAGCAGGTTGGTGTTCAGGACAATAAGTTTTTACTCTTTGGGATTCTAGATTGTTTAAAGCTTTAGGGGCCAGTGTTGTGGTGCAACAGGTTAAGCCGCCATCTGTGATGCCGAAATTCTATTTGGGCACAAGTTTGAGTCTCAACAGCTTCACTTTCAATCCAGCTCTCTGCTAATGGCCTGGGAAAAACTGTGACAGGCGGTCCCTGAAGGAGATCACAGACTCTGTTTTTGTTGTAGGAGGGCAGGCGTGGGCCTCTGCCACGCCTTGGGAGACTATCATTTCTGTGTTGCTCATGGAGACGTCAGCAGGAGTGAGGCCTCAGAAAGGCCCCACAAGGGAACAAGCTCAGTGAACAGGACACGGTGCTCCTGCTAGAGCTGGAACGTCACAAAGTGTACAGCTTGGCAGGCTGAAGGGTGAGTCCAGGCAGGGCCCTCTGCCGGGCCCAGGCAAGAGGAGGGCCGCAGCCATGCGCCAGTGCAGCTGCTGACCCACAGCAAGCAGGAGGAGCCACTGCAGAGATGAAGCCAGAGGCCAGGGCAGCCCCTTCCCCTTGTGCCAGGCCCATCCTTAAGGGCCCCACAGGGAATGAGGCGTGACAGCATCTGCTCGTGGAGGCGAAGAGGGCGCTGAGGTTCCACGTGAGGATGCATACGCGTGTAAACATTGGTGCGTGTATCTGTGTGTGTGTTGTATGGGTGTATGTGTGTGGATGTAGGCGGGCACAGTCTGCAGACTGATGGGTTAACAGGGTTCGCAGGGCACTGCGGGGATGGAGACTAGAGAACAATCTGCAGGCCCCGCACCACGGCGAGCAGTAGGCACCCGGGGCCAGCCCTCCTCTCAAGCATGCCTGTCCTGCCTGTCTAGTCTCGTAGGCCCCACAGGTCCAATTAGCACTTTCATGCAGACAATTCCCAAAGTGTCTCCAGAGCGAGTCACATGCCTCTTCTTGAATCCCTGTTGTTGACCTGCCCTGCTACAATAAAAACAGAGCCCGTGACCTCTCATCATCCTGCTCATGGCACCACCATCACAGCCAGCTGGGTACGGTGCAGTTGAACAGCTGCTCAGATCCGCCCACTCTCCCTTGTCCACCTCCCTGCCTTTCATCTGAGCCAGGCCTGTCTGGCCCCAGCAACTGCTCACCTCCACCGCTGCAACAGCGTCCCTCCCAGGAACAACTGGGATTCATTTCGCAGTGCCAGAAAGCAGATTCAGTCCTCGACACAGACTTACTGAACAGCTGCCTCTGTCCCAGGTGCAGCTCTAGGCCTAATGAATCGAGAGCAAATGAGACCAGGCCCTTGTGCTGGTGTGATGACCATCAGCACCCAGGAATGTGGATGCTCTGGGTACCTGCACCACAGGTGTGAGGGGCAGCTCTGGCGGGAATGGCCAGTGGAGACCCCTCTGTTGAAGGGATGCTGGGCTGAAACCCCTGTTTTACCCCTTCAGGGAGAAGAGGGGAGAGAGGGAGGAGCATGGAGGGAGCTGGCACAGCTGTGTGGGAGGTGGCACTCAACATCAGCGAGAAGGCGATCCACCTGGGGCTTGCAAGTGGCTCTGCCCAGGCCTCATTCAGGGCCAGAGTGCAGAATGACTTAGAGGGCACAGGTGCAAAGAGAACCTCTGCAGCTCCAGCAGCGTGACCAGGAAGGCTCTGGAATGCAGAGCTGAGGGTCGCTGCCGAGGGTCCCTGCCGAGGGGTTTTGTGAGCAGGAGGCGTGGAGTGCAGGACACGGATGGTGAGCTTCAAGATGCCATTAGACATCTGTGGTAGGCTGATGTTTTCAGCACATCTTGCAATGTTTATTTGTAACTTTCTCTTTGAAGAAGATTCCACATGTACTCCCAAGAAGAAAGGAAGATTGAGTGGACTGAGCGTGCGCATCTCCCACCGTGAGTGGCCTCGCCCATCTCAGTCCCCACCCAGCAGGTGTCCAGGCATCCTGGTGTTTTATCCATACCTGCTTTGTATCTAACCCATGGGTGTCCTTCAATATTTCCATAGCACCAGTATCATTTCTCTGTAGCATCAATCAGTCATTGTTTAAATGTCCCCAATAGCTGGAATAGAACAGAATCCAGAAATAAACCCTTTGATATTTGGTCAAAGGATTCTTGAGAAGGATGCCAAGAGGGTTCAGTAGGGAAAGGACCATCTTAGAAACCTGGATTGTCCAGACGCAGAAGAATGAGGTCAAATACTTGCATAATGCCCTATCTGAAAAGCATCTCAAAATAAACCAAAGCCTAAACTGTAGCGCTAACCCTGCAGAAGGAAGTCTTGGCGGAGAGCAGAGGACAGTCTCTTGACATTGGGTTTGGAAACGATTTTTTTTTTTTTTAGGATTTATTTATTTTATTACAAAGTCAGATATACAGAGAGGAGAAGAGACAGAAAGGAAGATCTTCCGTCCGATGATTCACTCCCCAAGTGAGCGCAATGGCTGGGGCTGTGCCAATCCGAAGCTGGGAACCAGGAACCTCTTCCAGGTCTCCCATGTGGGTGCAAGGTCCCAAGGCTTTGGACCATTCTCAACTGCTTTCCCAGGTCACAAGCAGGGAGCTGGATTGGAAGTGGAGCTGCTGGGATTAGAACCGGCGCCCATATGGGATCCTGGCGCGTTCAAGGCCACTAGGCCACGCTGCCAGGCCCTGGAAACGATTCTTATGTAACAGTGCTGGGACACGTCGGGCGGACAGCAAGCCTGCTCCCCCACGCTGTGCGGCATGGACACGAGCAAGGACATCACTTGTAACACTAAAACGCGCCTGAAATTCATCTTACCAAAACGGAGAGATAAGGGCTGAACAAAGGACAGGGCTCACACACTGTGCCCTGCCCATGTCACACCTCAATGGGCACTGCCAACAGCGCCGGCCTGGGGCCAGGGCCCAGCGTGCCAAGGCGTGGTCCTGGGTGGACGTGGCGGGGAGAGGACTGCCATACCTCCCCCACAGGATGCAGGAGCGGCCCCCGGGCCTGGGCGGAGACAAGTCTTCCCCCGGAGGGGAGGACGAGCTGTGCGGAGAGCAGGGTCCTGGCAGCGCTCGGCCAGTCCCGCGGCCTTCCCCTGCGCCTGCGCGCCTCCGCCGGCAGGGGGCGCCCGCCGCTCCTCAGCCGGCCTCCTCGCAGAGCTTGCGTTCAGGCTCGCCCGCCGGCCAAGGTGGCCAGTGTCTGCGTCCACGCCACTGTGGACAACACGGTCTGAGTGTCTCCCGGCGGCCCGCAGGACTGCAGAGGAGACCCCTGGCGAAGACAGCGCGAGCTGCAGCGTGCGGCACGGCTGCACCTGCTCCGGAGCAGTGCCCGGCCGCCATCTGGGGCCCCGCAGACCTGGGCAGCAGCGCTGACCCACCGCGCCGACATGACCCTCGGGAATACCCACGGTCTTGCTTAGAGAAGATTCAAAGGGCATGGCTTGACAAAGAGGCATGCAGGGGTGTGGTGGCCTAGCGGCTAAAGTCCTCACCTTGAACTTGCACCAGTATCCCATATGGGCACCGGTTCTAGTCCCGGCTGCTCCCCTTCCCATCCAGCTCCCTGCTTGTGGCCTGGGAAAGCAGTGGAGGACGGCCCAAAGCCTTGGGACCCTGCACCCGCGTGGGAGACCTGGAAGAAGTTCATGGCTCCTGGCTTCGGATTGGCATAGCACCGGCCATTGCGCTCACTTAGGGAGTGAATCATCGGAGGAAGATCTTGCTCTCTGTCTCTCCTCCTCTCTGTGTATCTGACTTTCCAATAAATAAATACTTTAAAGACACACACACACACACACACACGGGAGAGTTTTCCTGCGTTAATAGTGTTGTCCTTCCTGTTATTGCCAGGGAGCTCCTACCTAGCTAGGAAGCGTCTAATTGCAGATTTAAATATGCTTCTTTTACTAAACCAGTTGGCCTCCCTATGCAGTCAGACAAGATGTATAACCATCTACAAAGTGTCACCAGCTCATCTTAAAGCAGCACACTGACCCAGGATCAACTTGGAAACATAGCATCTGCAGGGAACTGGATGGGAAGTGGAGCTGCCAGGATTAGAAACGGTGCCCATATGGGATCCAGGCGCGTTCAAGCTGAGGACTTTAGCCGCTAGGCCACACTGCTGGGCCCTGCATATTCTTTTTTTTAAAGGTTTGTTTTTTTTTTGGTAGGGGCCCAGTGCGGTAGTCTAGCGGCTGAATCCTCACCTTGCATGCACCAGGATCACATACAGGTTGGTTCATGCCTCAACTCCCTGTTTGTGGCCTGGGAAAGCAGTGGAGGTTGTCCCAAAGCCTTGAGACCCTGCACCCGTGTGAGAGACCTGGAAGAAGCTCCTGGCTCCCGATGGGCTCAGCTATCCAGCCGTAGTGGGCACTTGGAGAGTGAACAAGCAGATGGAAGAGCTTTCTCTCTCTCTCTCCTTCTCTCTGTATAGGTGCCTCTCTAATAAAAATAAATACATCTTTTTAACAAATTTTTTTTTTTACCAAAGCTGGCACAATGGCTCAGCTGGCTAATTCTGCATCACCAATGCCTACAACCCATACGGGCACCGGTTCGCATCCCAGATGCCCCAGTTCCCATCCAGCTCGCTGCTTGTGGCCTGGGAAAGCAGTCGAGGACGGCTGAAAGCCTTGGGTGCAGGCTCCCTGTCTGTCCTTCTCTGTAAACCGCCTTTCTAATAAAAGTAAATAAATCTTTTTTAAAGAAGAACTGTTTCATAATTTTGTTGGGAAAGCAGAGTGGAAGGGGTGAGACAGTCTTCCCTTCTGGCCTGCTGCCCAGGTGGGTAGGATTGGCCCGGGATGGGTTCAGGAGCCAGGAACTCTGTCTGTCTCCACATGGGTGGCAAGGACTCACGTACGTACACCCTCCTCCTCCCTTGCATTTCGGGCTGGGTGAGAAGGAAGCTAAATTGGGTAGCAGAGCAGCTGGGATCAGAACTGGCATCCCAATGTGGGATTTGGGTATCACAAGTGCAAGCCT